AATATGGATTATTTCGTGAGAGAGAGAAGAAAGGGACAAAACTGACTTTTTGGGATAAATAAGTGGCAGATTTGCAAAAGTGTACATGCATGTGGCACGCTTGCAAACTTATCATTAAAATGTGGCATTTTGTAATTGTTCCAATTCTAAATGACATGTTTTTATTAATTTAATAAAATAAATCTATTAATACATGTTTTACATATTTAAATTTAACTAAATGTAATATTTAGACTTATCATATCATTTTTTTAAAAAAATAGATATATTAAAAAGCTTTTCATTATTATATATGTAACAACGTTATTTATTTGTAGATGATAACTACAATTACAATTATTTTTATATTTTATTATTGAAAACATATATTTTTCGCTTGTTATGTCTGACAAATTCATATAAATCTAAAAATTCATTTGATTTATGGGACAATTACAAAAATACCACTTTTTGTGTGCACATTTGCAAGAAGGCCACTTAGGGATATCTATTTACAAAAATACCACTAATTATAGATTTATAAAGTCTATATCTTAAAAATTCTAAACCCTAAAAAATGTTTTGACACCTAAAACCCTTAAACACTTAAAACTAAATCCTAATAGAACATAATTAACTCAAACATAAATAATATAAAAAAAATTTTTTTGAAAAAGTGGTATTTTTTTAAAGATTTTAAAAGTGTGGCATTTTTGTAAAGTGGCACTTGAAAAGTGGCATTTTTTGAAATTTCTCATGATTTATTGCATGTTCTATTTACACAATTAATAAAAATTAATTTTACACTTCAAATAAATTGAGATAAATAACATTTGCATTAGTTTTAATAATTTTTTATGCAAAATTGATCAAAGCATATGACATCAAAATATGTTTGATCAAAATTTAAATTTATTAAATTTATGCACAATACATATCATTTTGTATGTTTATAAATATTATAAAACATGTCTACATATTAAGATCGATTAGAAAACATATTTAAATATTTAATCTCACGCTTGGCGTGGGTCAAAACCTAGTATTAGTTATTTAGTTTCATGGATATCTTGTGGACTGAGTTTCCCATCCGGAGCAAAAGATGGACAATTCAGCTTCATCGAAAAACCTATCAGAGGTATGTGACTGTCTCATCTCATCTCTTGCACCCTTTTAGTATCGGAAGTCAAATCTGTTTATTGTTGGAATTTTCTATTCCAATTCGAGCCTCTTTCTGTCATCGGTGTAGTTGTTAGTACCACCTATCGAATTCTTGCTCGATTTAATGTGATTTTTTATGCAGATTGCGGCGTCTTGTGATAATCCAACGACCCTGGAAACAAGAAAGCCTGGAAATAATAAAACCAATAGGAAAGAAACTGGTT